GTATCCCATGGAATGCACTCTTCCTGTCCATTCTCCTAGGTAGAAATGTCGTTCTCGCCGCTAAAACTTGCCATAAGAATGTCTCTTAGCGCACTAGCTTGCTCTCGCGGGTCAGATAGCCACCAGTTTTCGTCAATCTGTAGAGGAAGGGGCTCAGCTGATGGTCGAGGTTTAGCTCATCTCATGAGCTTGAATACCTGTGCCTCAGTAGTCACTGCCTCCACTTGACTCTTCCATACTCTTGCTTAGTTTTTTGCACCATGGTCCTAAAGCTTTTGGCGGGTCTCTTTTGCAAGGTCCGGGTTGAATCTCGCTTCCTTGTTCTCCTGCCATTCTATGCGACATTCATCGCTCCACCATGGCCCGGGTTTTCCGCTTTCGATGGCTGGGACATTCCCCGCAATCTTTAGCACATTTCCAAGTGCTTGTAGGAGATCATTCGTTAAATTTTCCATTTTCATGACACTGTCAAGAGGGCCAGGTCCAGTCCATTAGCTAATACATCGACAAAATTCCTTCAATTTGGAATCGCTGACACGAATGTTCCTCACAATTCCAGAGAGATCTGACCCAGTAGGATTTAGTACGGTACCCTCGATAGTCGAGTGATCTGAGGTACAGTGGTAGCGTGTAGAGACTGATTCTATAGCGGCCGTGTTGCTCCACGTAAGATCTAGGACGTTCCCATCCCTGTGCGTTGGCTCTCCAACAATGCTGACTAGGTCCATGTCGTGGGCTGTTGCCCATTCCATAATCTGGTTATCATTGCCGTGCCGATTTGTCATTATTGGTTGCCAATGCTGTGACACAGAATTGAAATCGCCTTCAACAACCACCAGACCTCTAATTTCCCACCGGAGCAGGGGCTCCAAGGTTCCACTAGTACCCGGGGCACGATATACGTTGACATGGGTCAGGCTACCCATTTTTACAAAACAGTTGTCAGATGTCGTGCCTGATGACGATGGAAAGAATCGAGTCGCTAGAATGCCTTTTCGCGTGAAAGTGATCGTACGTGGCCGGACTTATATTCCTGCAAATGGTATGTAGCTATTGTAGCTCGGGTGACTTTTTGTGATAAAGCCCCCCTCTTTCTTTCTTGTCAATGGCTCCTGTACCATGGCTACATGCACACCGGTATCCCATACTTACTGCGATGCTATATCTGTATTTTCTCTGTTGTAATAAAACAGTTCTGCATCAGTATCGATGCAGGATCTCTTTCTATACACTGCTACATATAACTCTTAATTCACTTGTAACCAGATTTTATGTTTAATGTAGTCACGTCTCTTTCTTTTCTTGGTCATGGGGGTTCACTAAAACACAAGGCTAAAACGTCATTTGGATAATGTTATCAAGCTGATACATTGTCACGTACCTCATAAGTCCCCCAACTTTCGTCATACTAAGTTTGGTTCCTGTATATAGATGTAGTCTCTCCTACCTCCAGAGATCTTCAGTTCATTGTATTAGCTGAATATCTCTGAAGACTATATTCATCACTACTCTCTTCAACTTCACAGCTTTACATCTAAAGTTCCATTAATCTGCTTCTGTGCTCAAATACCACTCTTCCTTCCTCTCCAACAGCCCGAAATCCCTCTCGATTTTTAACCTGAAAAATATTCCCCACCCCTTCCAACATTCACTTGGTGACAGTGGAGGGTGATGTGTTTATCTTTTGGTGCTTTGGTTGAGGGTTTTCCTAACATTAACACGACAGTGTTGAGTCCTGGGTAGTGATAGTTTCAACTGCCTTACCCTTTCTTCCTGAGTACTCTAGAGCAGCGTGATAGTCATGATGTCCGCATTCTCTGATTATATGTAAGTCTACGGGGCTGCGAGGCAGAATTTCCCCGTTTTCTCATCTTGGCCGGGCCATACAGCTACTCTCATTCGAATAGTGAGGTCCCGCGCAATTTGAGTACTTTGGCACTTTGGTCTAGCACTCTGATGTCTCATAAGTTCCCCCACATCGTCCACATCGTTGGCTCAAGGTGCAGAAACGCGTTGTGTGGAATCCCCAGCAACGTTGGCATTGCTCGATCGGTCGTCGGCGTGAGAAGGGAATTGCAGGTCCGCTCACGTCAAAGAGACGAAGCTTTGTGTTCGCTGGTTTTTGTTGGAAATAAACAACCCAGCTCGTTGAGTACTGCCCGAGTTTTGTTTCTGTGAGCCTTACCTGTATTGGTGTGGCGCCAGATACAACCTGGCAGTTGTTCTTCACAATATCGTTGGTGACTGGGATTGTGCCTTCAAGCGTCCTGATGTACAATGGCACATGAGGTACGATCAATGATGTTCATTTGGACGCTGTCTCAATCACGGTGTTGTCTTTCCGTAGGGAAGATGCATTTCCGATAATTGTGCCTCTTAATGCATCTTATGCGCATTCGAGAGCGATCCCTGACCTGACCGGGTACATGGGCGTGATAGCTGAGGTTGCTATCCCAGCTTTGTCCGTAATAATTTTCTTAATTGTGACTAGCGATAGCTTGTGCTAGTTGTGATCTCTCCTAAATCGAAGGAGCTGGCGCTTGTCTTCCTTTGGGGTTGCCTGTGGTTTTGGGTGGCTTGTTGAAGCAAGCCTTCGCGAAACTTACATGTTTGGTAACGTTGGTAGCTGGGGCCATTGCACCGGTTTGAGATTCTTGTTAAAAAAGGTTATGAGTGACAAGATGTGGGATGGGTCGGAAGAAAAAAGGATTGATGTATAATAATCATAGACTTAGATGTGATGCTTTCTGTGTTAGGAAGATTGAGGAAAAGAATAGAATAAAATTTAAGTCCCTACTGAGCCTGCGACTATGAGGGTCGGCAAAGACGTATTCTTCACCTTCCAGTGGTGCTGGTATAATCTCTCAGTATGCTCTGCATATCTGGGATAGCCAAGAAGAATCGCATCCAACTCGAATTCGAAGGCACTCGCAAGCACATCTAAAATCGACGACTTATCGTCAATGTTGGACCTGTAATTCTCATGCGAGTCCTCCATCTCAATCTTACCACACTACCTCGCCTCAAATACCGATAATGGCGTTAGTCCAATTGCAATCGGGCATTTGCCTCATCAAAAACCGGCCATCTCTCACTACACATTTACGATGCTATGTATACCCGCGAGGAGGAATTCAAGTCATAATCTACAAAGCTCGGGTCTTGATCTATAGGGGACCGTTGCTCTAATTGGGCTTCAAATAGTGAGGGAGGATAGGCAGCTGAGACTTGGGACGAACGAGTGAAGAGGTCACAAATGGGCATGCTGGGACGCACATTTTTCGAGTGTCTTCGACTTAAGATTGTCTGTGGGTGCAGAAGCAACGATTTCGGATAGTGCAACCGACACTTTAAAAATAGGCAACGATGGAAGGTGTTTTGGTCCGCCTCCTGGTCGTCATCTCCCGAATTAAAGTCTGGGTAGCCTGGACACCTACCTCACTCGAGAAAGGGAGGAGTGTGAGGCCATATCTCGCGCGGCGGCTATATACAAGATGGCAAAGGCACGTTAGGGTAGCCAAAGGTTTTTCCTGATTTCCCTTTGGTGAATGTTAACGGTAGAGGGAAGGGTGAAAGACTCTGGCACAAAGGTCTCAAGTGGTATCAGCGAATGCACCCACCATACGAGCAGTCCAAATATCAAACTGAGTTATCGTCGTATATAGTCGCTGGGCAAGGACTCGCCTTCTCTGTGTCATGCTCTTTGAGTGCAGGGCCTGTGCCCGTCACGAATAAATTTTCATTCATTATGTGACTATGAAAGCTGACCTAATTTGCAACGTTGGAGAAGCTGTGGAAAAATGACCCCACCTGGGACCAGCAAAATGAAAGGAGAGAAGGGATGGCAGAAGTTTTTTCAATTCCTAACTCGAAGTAGATGTTATTATCTGCCGAAGAATGAATAGGGTGGGAGGTGATCATGCCGAGACTGTTTCCAATTCGAGAGGAGATGTGTTGGAAGAATTGAATGCGGTGCAGGGCACCGTAACTCACACATTAACTGCACTTTTTTCATTTCATTTGTCACTTCTGGTTTTACTGTCGGTAATGTAGGTAGCAATGAGCTTTTAGGGCCTATCTAGCCGCGTCACGTTAAAGATTTCAATTTCAAATTCTATGGCTGTTGAGGATGGAATATAGATGAAGGTTGTTAGCCAACTGAAGTGACTTAGTCCACCTCTAGATGGGAATATTCTTTGGCGTCTATAAATATTTACATGGCCGATATAATTTCAATAGTAAGGAGTATTTACGTCCAAATCTAAGCTCTCTTAACAAATAATGATCCTAAAACGTCCACACTTACATTTCTTCTCAAAGCCAAGCTTCAATGCCTACAAGTATCACAGGAGTGGGTTCTACAAGTTGCTAGATGTAGTAGCATTATGCCAGCAAGCTAAGGGCCTCTCTTACCTAAAGGTACCGTGAATATGTCCCCTAGTCAAATAAGTTTCAACGATTTAAGGTAAGACCTTCTAGAGGAAATTATTGAGTTCATTGACTGCGTCACTTAATCTTAGGCTGGTTAAGCTATCATAATATCCAGTCTCTCATCGCAACATCGAAAAACTCCTCATGATTTCCAAACCCTAAGCCGTCTCCAATCGCCGTGTCTTGGATCAATAGACAAAGCCGTAGTCTTTTCGCCAAATCCTTCAAGGCTCACTTGAAGATCAACGGGGCATCATCTTATTATGGGTCTGAAACCTCTAGTAGGCAAAATCTATTACTTATCTAATTAATCAGCGAGACGTTCAAACTTGAACACCAAAACTTAGCCAATTTCGTAACTGACAACTCCCAATAGACCACTTGACACCGAAACTCACCTCCAAAAACTCTTGACGCCTATTATGCAGATGAAAAGCTGTCACTATTCAAGTAATTATTAGGTCAGAATAGAGAGAGACAGTAATAGTTTTACAGACAAGATCATGTAACTCCAGTTGTGCCACCATAACAGATACAGTATGCAAGGCACTATTATATGGATAGAGTGTTTAATACGTTTCCATCTCAGAGTCAGTATCTTCAGCATAGCCACTGACAACCCGCTTAGCCCGCCGATCCCACGGTAGCGGACTACTTAATTCTTCAGGGCCTGGAATGCTAGGATGTTCTTTTTCATATGCTGACCTGAAAGTTAGGGCGTCTTTGTCCCATTGGTTCACCTTAGCATTATATTCTGCCAACGCAGCAGTATACGCTTTCTTGTGAATCTCAGCCTCCTCGTTGTATGGTTTCTTTTCTTCTTCCGTTTCTTCTTTCCACAATTTGGTCACCATTTTTTTAACTTCATTAGGAATAGCTTTTCCTTTGCCTGGTCTTCTGCCTTCTTCACATCTGCGCTTTGCTTCTTCCCACTTGACTTTGCTATAAAGTCTATAAGGGTTTGCATAGTTATTAGGAGGACGCCATGGACGCTCTCCGAGTTTTTCATAGATTGCATTCCAGATTTCAGCTTCATAGGCCTCTAGACGAATCTGCTTTGGATCTCGGGGGCTTTTCACAGTACCTGGCTTGCGCTTCAACGCTAGATCTTTGGGCGGAACTAGTGGCTCAGGAACCTTTATATCCCCTATCAAGAAGTCGAGCACCTCCGATGCAGCTCTGAGCCCGGATATGTATGCGCCATGAACGGTTGCGGGATGAGTGCCACAAGTGTGCTCACCTGCAAAAAATAAGTTTCCAACAGGCTTAGCCATAGCCCCATAGTCGTACGGCTCAAAGTGCGGCCCGGTGTATGAATAGCTACCGCGTGAGAACTCATCATGACCCCATCTGGTCACAATAGTCTCTATTGGGCTTGGAACTGATGGTCCAAATACGGTACGTAAAACTCTCGTGGCTTCAGACAATAGCTCCTCATTAGACGTATTTTCCGTAGCAAATGCTGCGTCACCAGCCATAAGAGCTAGCAAAGTGGGTAAGCCGGTTGTGTTGCTTACATTAAACCATTGAAAAAAGCGACCCCTTTGTGAAAAGTAATCCGCCTGGTCGAGACTAAATTTATTGGGGGCATTGCGTAGAGTTCCAAATATATCACGATCTTCGTCCCAAAACGCCTCGTGATATACAAGAATTATTTTATTCAGAATACCATAGCCAATTCTCCGAATGGCGCCTTCTTTCCATGCTGGAAGTAATGGCTCGAATTGTACGCTTTTCTGTTTCAAAACCCCTAGTGGCAAAGTTGATACTATACAATCAGCTTCGATTATATCACCATCTTCAAATTCAATCTTAGATCGTACGTCGTGAGGTTTTTCAAGATCTGGATTGTGAATAATTTTGACTACTTTACTCTTTTTCCGAACAGTTAGAGGTTGAGGACACTTAAAAATACCCCTTGGAACTTGTTGATAACCGCCCATTACCATAGTATGTTTCCCTTCCCATTCGTTTCCCGCATCTAGATCCCAGCCCCCTAGACTCAATCGATTGCAGGTAATAGCATTGCTATATTCAAGGTTTGCTACGTGCCAGTTTATTAGTTGCAAATCAAGTGGAGTAAAATTGACGATGTTACTGTATTGTCTTATTGCTTCATCAAAAACTGAGCCCAAGGTAGCGTCTTTCGAATTTACACATCTTTCAAGATCTAAATCATATTCAATCCCTACGCCTGGCTTCAAAACCCAACCAATTTCTCTAGCCTTAAAGGCCGCAGTGTGTACTACGGGCAAGTTGGACTCAAGCTCTGGGCCCAAAAAGGATTTGTCTGAAGATATGGGGAATTTTTTAAATGGTGTATGGACGTTATTTTTTTCTTTGTGGCTGGTAGATGCTCGTTTTCTCGCACTATTTTCTGTTTCAAAAATAGTTTTTGATCCTTCATTAGAAGGTTCCCGACCTGCATCAATCAGATCTTTATCACCATCGATAGTAACAGGTTCTGAAACTTTAAACTTATACTCGCTGACTCGATCAAGAATATAATTGAAAAGTTTCTCGGCAAGTTGATCTCGATTGGCGTCAACTGAAATACCATTAGAATCATAAATTGTTGTGTCTGGCTTGAGTTTATGATAGTTCAGGGCTAGTTGTCCCCTAACAATCACGTTTAAGGGGTTCCCCCTATCGAATCCAGTAATTATCATCCCGCCCATTTCAGCTGTATGTCGACTACCATAATTTAATGTTGGGCTCTTGGGCTTTGTGTTGAAGGCACGTGAATATACTCTGCCGCCAATTCTATCTCTTCCCTCCACCACAATGACTCGTGGAGTGTCTTCGCCTAAATGCTGAAAACGATCTTCAAACTGGATAAAAAGTCCCTCGAGCTGTCTTGCACAACCCAGACCAGACATCCCAGCTCCAATGACCACGACGACTCTTCTTTTTCGTTTAAGTTCATGTTGACTGTCGTGAAATGATTTATCAGAAAGATCTAGACAGCCGTAATTTATGTACCCACGTCTTACTAGCCACTCATGTGAAAGGCTTGCAACATCAAGCCACCGAGAATCTTTTGCACAGCCAATAGCCTCGTTGGGTGTAACCCCAATAGTAGGATTTCTTACCCATAATCTTAAGATTCCATTACGAATATTCAAATACGTTGTAACTTGTTGATAAGTGATATGCCTGCGTAAAATTGTGTACTCTTCTGGATGTAGGTTGTAGGGATCTAGGCGCGACGATTCTGCTGCGGCAATACACTGTCTTGCATACTCAGTGGGCCCTATGTCAGTGGGTATAGAAAATTTAGGCCCAATATTAAAATTTTGATTTGTGCTCTCTCTCACAGGGGTAGATTTTGCTTCTTGTCTCTGATTACTTTTAGTTTCAGTAAAGAAGGTTGTTTTACTAGAATGTAAGGAAATATTTGAGGAAGTTTCATCATGCTCTGCGACCAGAGACGATGCCATTGAGCAAAGATTGGTCTCGGGCCATAGATGCGCAGCCCCATCGGGTGGAAGCTTAGCACATCGTATAGGCCTATATTTTAATAGTCAATTGAAAGTTGCTTGAATCACTGTGGTTGGATGCCACGGATTCAGAAAAAAGGGCCAGAACGTACCGCGCACAATCGAATCTTTCACTTATATAGTTACTATTAGATGCATGTATTTCCGACAGGGTTCCAGGATCTCTATTTGGCCTGGCTAAAATTTCTGTCGTAAGGGTAGAGTTTTCATCAGCGTGCGTTGGAAGTATATCTGGGGCATTTGACTTTCTGCTGTAATCCGCAGGCTCAAGAATTGAAGATAGCGATTCTATATCATTCAATCTTCTCCAATCTAGGTCATTATGTCGTGAAAACGAATCATCTAGCTTTGCCACAATTGCAGAGGTCTCGAAACTCATTAGATGCGACTTTTGGCCTGACATGGGTGTTGTCGAAATTGAGGTATATGGACTTGTGTAGCTCATAGCATTAGGTGTTAGGTGTTAGTTTGTACACAGGACAGCCACCCCATCAAATGCACTGTCATAAAATCTCGCAGTTTAAGCTCTTCCAAATAACCTGTACCTTTTAATTAGCAAAGAAGCTGCGGATTGGATAAACGATATATTTCACCACCTGGAGCGCATCTCACTCAGTATCCACCATGTAATCAGGTATGTCAGGCAGGATGGAACGAAGTTTTCGAAATAACTAGAGGCACTACTTAGATGTTCAACACCTTGAAACGCTGGGGTTTGAGTATACAATTATCTTGTGGTAATCGTGGCATACGTGCTCCCATGATGTTTTTTGTATGGAAAGTGATCACTTACACGTGATCTACACTTAAGTTATCGAATATCACGTTGTTGCATAAGTATAAATAGGATATCGTACAAGGATATCTTGTTATATTTAGATTCTATTTAGCAGCCACAGACTCTGAAACCTAAACGTGTCTGATTTATTAGAGCTAGCATCTGAGTAACATACGCTCAAGACCAGTCAGCAGAATTCCTCTACCAAGCCCAGCTCCATTCATATAGTTTACTGTGACGAAATTTAGCCCTCACTAGCTATCGGGATTTATATTATCATTTAGTCTACTACATTCTCCGGTTCATAAGATGGAACATGGTTATTTTTAAACTCGTATACGCATTGTCAAGTCAGTCTATCTAAGAATGTAGCACAAAGAACTTAACTGATACCTTTACATCGCATAATTTCCGTATAAAATATTCTGGCATTTCAATCCTATTTTTCTTCTACCTTGAGGCATGATTAAGGGAAAAAGTTGAGGATAGGGTAGGAAGGCTGAAAATTTCCGTTTGTTTTATCTAGTAATAGATTGAGAAAGGGGGATGGGCAGTGACTTAACACCTGTACGCGAGGTACTCTACGAACTTGAGAGTAAAATATTCTCATAGAGCCAGATTCAGTCAAATTTCGCAATACCAAAGAAGTTGGCCCACAAGGCAATGATTCAAAAAACTCCACCATGTCAAATTTTCACTCCCAACGAGATCGATTTCTACTGAAGCCTCCTCAAGTCTACAAGTACGACCTAGTGCATCCTCATTTCAATGACTACACCTCTTATCAACTTTTCTCAGGCCTCAACCAGTCTCTAATTATACGCCTACGACAATGCGAATATCGGTAGGAGTATCAAAATTGTAGCGCTCAAGTTCCGGAGGAAGTTTTTAGGGGTGGGTGTGAGAGAAATTTGGACAAGATTACAAGATAGTGCATACAACAGGTACAACCTCGACGGGCGTGAGATTTCGAATTTTGGCAAGGAGATTTACGTATTGAAAAGTATTGTGCGCGCCAATACTTCGGTTGCGAGAGTGCTGCTAACACTGTAAAAGCGAGCCAACGAGGGAAGGCGCCATGGTCCGTCTCTTGGTGGTGTTCTCTGGTATGGTTTGAGCAGCCTGGGCACCTACTCCACCTGAGAAGGAGACACCTCAGACCACGTTTCGCGCGGAGAAAAGTTGAAAGATGACGGAGGAATGTGTGGAAAACCCAGGACTTTTGAGACGTTCCCCTGGGTGGGTATTCACGGATGAGGGTTGACCTGGGGTGAAGAAAAAGCCAAAATAGCTATGCAGTGGTACTTGCAAATGAAATCTGAGGCATGAGTGTTCTTGTATATTGAGTGATCTATTGCTTACTTTTCCTTTGGTACTGTGTCATGGCTAGCCAGCTTCATATGCAATTAAAATCTGATTCAATAAAAGATCAAGAAAGGCTTATAAGACTAAAATAACCGCTAGCGTACTAGATTAAGTAGTTCAATTTCAAGAGATTTTTTCCGCAGTATAGTGCTTTTGCGCCCCAAATTATGTAAGGGTTTGAAGAGTCATGGAAAGCGCCATCTGAATACGACACAGAATAGGCAAGAATAAATCAATTTTGTGATCCGCTATTTTTTTACCTAGTCTAAATATATAAATTATTTAAGCCTTTTCTGCCCATGGGCCGAGAACACTTAAAAAATTAATAGATCCCCTATTAAAGCTTCTTTTTTAGCTGCGACTTCGCCGTGCCACTTCTTTCAGGTTAATTCAATCATACACTTAGATGAATTATCCCCTTGGTCATATCTCATCTCAAACCAACAAAACGATGTTATTTGCCGCCATGTGGTAGCCGGGAATAGTTACAAAAAAGATTGGGTGTGGGGCTTTCCTAGGATTCACATCTGTATTAAATCTAAAGATGAAGCTAATTTTCTGAAGGGCTCGGAGATATTCGCCACCAAGATGATACTGTTTATTTTTTATTTTATTTTTTTTGCATCAGATTTTAATTGCATATGAAGCTGGCTAGCCATGACACAGTACCAAAGGAAAAGTAAGCAATAGATCACTCAATATACAAGAACACTCATGCCTCAGATTTCATTTGCAAGTACCACTGCATAGCTATTTTGGCTTTTTCTTCACCCCAGGTCAACCCTCATCCGTGAATACCCACCCAGGGGAACGTCTCAAAAGTCCTGGGTTTTCCACACATTCCTCCGTCATCTTTCAACTTTTCTCCGCGCGAAACGTGGTCTGAGGTGTCTCCTTCTCAGGTGGAGTAGGTGCCCAGGCTGCTCAAACCATACCAGAGAACACCACCAGTGATACCTTTTATGTGTACCTGAGAAAATAACACTCTAAATTTCTAGCCTCATTGCTATGCTTCCTGTTACTCGTGCCAGGGGAAAAATTGGATGTCGTGTTGAATTTTCGGAGAATTATTAGGAGATTACTTGGTGTGGAGTAGACTAGCCTAGGTTCTTTGTGTGGTTTTGGGTGCTAGAAAATGGCATAGACTCATTGATCGTAGAGGAATCTCTAGCAAGAGCAGGAATCGATGTTGGCTTTGAAGGATCTACGGCAAGAGCTGGAAGTGGGTGAGGAACAACGTCGGTTGAAAATGAGTTTTCATCTGCCAGCATAGGTGTTTTGGGCTTTAGTTAGCCGTTGGGTATCATAAGTGCAGCTTGCATCTGATTTATCCACAACAAAGTTATCAGTGATTAATGCAATCACTAAGCTTCTCAGTAGGGACAAGTTGCGAACTCATTCGAGGCGAAATATTAATTGGCCTCGCGGCAGCAAGTAGCGACACATTACTACGTTGCTTGTGGAGATTAAGTTAGACATCGTTTGACAAAAGAGATGTCTGTCAGCAATGGGCTGTGCAGGCACGCCAAACATTCTCTAGAGGACTGGGAGGCCGGGGTTACTCTGTGTGCCTTCTCTACGTTAAGCATTTATAAATTAATAAACATACTCACGCGTATCAGGCTCAATTCTTACCAATACAGAAGGAAAGTACCTGGAGTAGAAAAGCAAAGCTGTCAATGTGGATATCCGTCACAAAACGTCAAGCACATGGTATTGGTGTATCCGCAGTGGGCAAATGGAAGAGGCAACTTTCTCCGATAAGCTAAAGACAGGTCACTTGAAGCAATGACCAACAGCCCAGAAAATATGGCTAGAATCACACAGTTGATTCTAAGCAAAGGATGGATAAATTAGTTTTGACTTGCAGGAGAAGTCGAGGTAGCAATGTCGAATATAATAAATCGATCTGGAAGGGGAGAGAACGGAATCCACACTGGCTGAACAGAGTAAACTGCACTTTCTGAAAGTAAACTAACCAAATTGATAGTAATATAAACAGACAAGAGCAGGGGGTTTTAACCAAATTGGTTTCCTCCTTTGAAAATAATGAAGATAGTCGCCTGCATGGACCCATACGGTGCCTGTTTTGTTTAAATGAAATCAAACTCAAAACATACTCATGCAAATCCAAGTCCAACCGCAAGTAGATGGAAAACCAGACCCACGTCTCTAATGGAAAAGGCCGGTCTAGGGCAAGGTTAATGAAAGAGAGATAGGGAGAGAGGAAATCAAAATTTAATGAAAATTGGCGCTCTAGTTGCTTGATCTAAAGACAGACGTCTTGGAACTCGACTTCCGACAAACAATTAACCAGAGTGTAGCTTTCACCATCGAGACTATCCAGAAGATAGGGGACTATTCTCGACACCTGTCAGTGGTGTTCCCTATGAACCTCCAGCTCTCACGGTAGGGTCTGTGGAGCCAAGATTGAGTAACACCTTTTCAACTTTGAGCTGTTCTATCACCCCCTCCATCAAAGATACGCTTCGATAACTCATAAGACGACCAAGATGACAATAATGATGCTGGGAATGAGGAAATATAATGCGGTACCAAACGCTACAACGGCAGTCAGAGAAACCCCTCTTTACATAACAACATGTGCTACCCACCGGCGGGTGAACAAAATTCCCACGAAAGCAAAGTAAAAGACCCTTCCGCCCTCAAGAAAAGCAGATTTCGACTCGTCAAAAATATCGTTCCTACTAATCTTAACTTGCGAACATACTAGCTAGGAGTGCGTCTGAAACACATTAATTACTCGAAAACCCTGCGTCCGTAACGACTTTTGGATGCTAGGCTAGGCTCCTTAACGACAGTCACTCTCGACCAAGCCTTTTCTGACACCCTTTCACGACCTTCGATTTGTCCTGCGGCATGAATCAGGGGAGGAGTAAGGAGGAGGCTAGGAAGGCTGAGAGACGTTCTCAGGTATACATAGGTCTGCTGCGCTCGGCTGGACGGCCTATTCGTCATGGGAGAGCCCCGCACCCAGTGGTTTTTGAGACTTTTCCCTGCAGCTAAACACCCGCAAATGGCCATCGTTTCGTTGGCTGTAGAGGGGAGATAATGACGGGATAACGGCTCTTCTTAGTGTGTACTCGAATGAAGACCTGTGGGGGTATTACTGCTGGAAAGAAGTCATAAAAGAGACACAGATACTCCCGGCCTATAGGCAGAAAAGGCCTACATGTCTTTACATAGTTATAGACTTCATAGGACAATAAACACTCACAAATATCCAGAAGATAGCCAAAGTAATTATACCTTTCGCTAAACCGTCAAAATTTGCCAAAACCTAGTCGACAACTCAGTGCTCGGAGGCGGTAAAGGACATACGAAAGACGAGAAGTGACTGTAAATAGCTGGATAGAATGCCAAAAAGTCATAGGCAGGTAAAAGGCCCAAGTAAATAAAGCAAAATTAATTGGATGGAGGGTAGCAGTTTCCTCATTCCCAGCGTCATAAGCTTAGTCTCAATTGTCTTATATATTATAGGAAGCGTGTCTTTGAAGGAGGGTGTGATAAAACAGCTCAAAGTTGAAAAGGTTTTACTCAATCTCGGCTCTACAGACTCTACAATGAAAACTGAAGGTTCACAGGGGACACAACTGACAGGTGTTCAGTTTCGTCCCCCTACTGCGATTTTTGCACATATAAGAAATGTAATTTTGGTTTCTTTATCATGTTTTGGTGCCACATTGGCTCATATAAGTGTCTAAACTTAAATTTTTATATTGGAGGAAACCCCAAAATCATCGTTTTTGCCAGAAAGCTGCACAACGTTCCATGTCACCATTGCCATAAATTAGACATCGTGTAGCTCATTTTTTAATCTTCTTTACGATCCTCTCATCAACTCGCCTTCCGTACTTCAACTTGGTGAGTGTGGGTGCTGGTGTGGGTAAATCTAGCGGTTTCGACGCGTCCCAAAAAGCGACAATTGCCACCACAAACGACGGCAGAGATGGGCAAACAGCTCCAAAGAATCAGAACCTTGGCACAATACGGTAGCTACTCCAGAATGTTGGTCTAATCGTGATGGGTGAGATGGATGAGGGAGACTTATCATCAATGGAGGATGTCAACGAAGCCGTTAAGGCTGTTAATTGTCCCAATAAGGCCTGGATAGCAATGTCCTAGATCCAGTCTCCAATCAAGGACGGACAACGGCGCTCGAGGAGGTCGTTAAGAAGAGTCTCGCAGATTCCGTTCGCAATGCTGCTCTAGGAATGGCTTCGGGAATGCCGCCAAAAAGAACCTACTCGTCGCTAGTAGCTCCAAAAATGAAGAAAACGGCACTGCGCATTAGAATTGATGGAGCAGAAAATTTGTAGCCTGAAGAGCTGCTATCAAAATCAAAAGAGCACATTCAAGGTTCATATGCAATTCAACAAATCGTAGAGATGACACTGAGGAGCTTTTCCAGTCGGCGTCCCAGAAAGATGCTGAAAACTACGCCATAATCAGGGAGATTGAGACGGCGACTGGGGCTTGGATTACCGACCTTACAATTAATAGAATACGGTGGTTGCACGACGGAAAGGAACACCAGCAGTCAAAGAAAAATGGCTGCACTCGTGGATCAATTGTGGTCAGCCTCCCATCGAAAGCAATGCAAGCAAGTGGTTTGACATGGCCTCGTAATTAACGCCATGCTTCTCACCGATCAAATGTGGTCACCGCGGGCTCAACCAAAGCAGTGCTTCAACTTCAGCAAGTTAGGACACACACAGGCATCGCGTGGGAAGATAGACAGGTGCAGTGAGTACTCTGGTGCTCACCAAACTCGGGACTGTCCGAGGAAAAGGGTTTCTTGCGCGAACTGCGGCAGAGAACACCGTTCATGTCAGAAAGCAGCGTGTCAGACTAACCAAGTCTACGAGAGAAATGTGGAGAAGGCTTGTATGGAGCTTCTGTCAAGAACGGCGGAAATTCGAGATGAGAAGCCCCCAGCGGAAACCAAATAAGCAGTTCGGATAACAGATGATCAGGAATTCACTTTGGTCACCAATAAGAAGTTTGAAAGACCCAAAAGAGGGCCGGGACGACCACATAAAGTAGTTGAAGCCTAAGCGGCACTTATCAATCCCGCAACAGGCGCACTATCATCGGGGCCAACTCTTTGGATACTTCGTCGACCAACGCCATGTGAAGAAGTGCCTTCTATTTTCAATTTCTCCTCTATTACTTGACCATCTAGGGTAGAGTATAATCATGCCCTCGGGGTTATGCAATTGGAAGCCACATAGATAGCTTGGGATGTAAAATCCTGGTACTTTTCTTCTATGTAAATACAAGTTGGGCCTCACGTCCTCGCTTCGAATTTGAAATTTTACAACGATCTAGGCCCTTATTAGACTTCGGTGAAGAGATGATAGCGAATCCTGAAGACTTATTTTTCACCGTCGCGACTTTCAGCCTCGATAGAACTGAATTACTCTAATTTCGGGATCGGCCACAGCAGGTTGTCGAGACTATTTGATCCGCCTCAAAGTTAACCAGGATTTAGCCTACTCTTGATATGCTCCAGCTTTCCCGCTTATTACTGCTGATTTTTGGGCTGGTCTTTTCCGTAGATTTCTGTACAGCATGCCAAATCTAATCTTATGATATTTGCTTGAATATCTTCTTATCCATGTTTGGGCAGCTTGAAATTACGATAGACAGATTTTATGATCTTTGAGACTGGTAGTATCCCTGAGCGGTCAATGTTTTGGAGTCTTTAATTACTATAAAATTCGGATGATTTCTATTTTCCCCCATATGAGCAGGTCTGTACATACAAAACATTTGGACCCAGTTTCTATCGTATCTGTCGAAATTGTGGAGTACAGAGATAAGTCAGGTGATGCTTTATGGAAGTAATTGATGAAGGGTTTAGTTGTTGAGTTTTCTATTATTTCTATGTTGGAATACACTTTGTCGATCCTGCTAGGCTCGATAATTAGTAGTCCCGACCGACTGGTGTTTGAAAAACCGAGATTACGTATACCCCGTACTAGCTTTGTTCACTACTGTCAATAGGAGATCCCGCACGGGCTATCTAATGGGGTTAAAAGGAGGCTGGTACCTGTGTTTAGAAGAGTAGTCGAATTGACATCCTTTTATCCTCCATGATTGCACAAGCTTCACTCTATCAGCAAGTCCACGAATGATGTAGCGGGTAAAAATTTTCAAAAATATCCTTTCAACTATGCGCATTCCCAACTGTAATTATTGTGATTCGTCCTGCCTTCACCTAGCGCATACCACTTCCCCATTAATAGTTGGCACTTTCAACTTCATTGTGACACACTGAGCTTAGAGCAACGTCGCAAGGCATTCTTATTACATCATGTAATAGTTCAACAGATATTATGATATCACTTAAGTAATTCTTTAGCAATAATTTTATGGTAAAGGGGAAGTTTAGTGTTCTGGAACTCTCGTTTTGGTCAATTTATTAACTCCTGTAACTATTTTTGGGCACTTTCTTTGGATTTTGTATGGAGGTTTACATTTTTTTGCTATGTTAACAGTCAAGTTATGCATTCTCAGGTCAAATTTTCTCGATTTAAGAAATGATGTAAACTTCTTCGGACAGCTTTCTCCTCGACAACCATATTCCCTCCACTTCTCAACACTTAACCTCAGGCCTTTGGCAAATCTAACCTCCAAAATTGAGGATTCAACATTGATGGAGTTGCCTTTTATTACGCCGCTCAAGTCAAAGTGTATCTAGTTACATTGGCCTTCACTCTGACCCAGGTCACACCTTGTATAATGCTTCATCCTCCTTTTTTCTAAAAAAAATTCCTTCATTTCATACCAGCTATCGATCGCTCTAGACTCAGCAGTTACCCATAGGGATAAATCTCTTTTTCTATAGATACTTCTGCCCAAAGAAGGTAGAGATATAAGCTGTGAGTGTGGCAAAATTCTCAAAAAACCTCTAGCTCCAGACAGGCGAGATCTAGACAAACTGTCATCGCTATATAGCTGAATACAATATGAATTAAAACAAAAGAGTTCTAAGCACTGGAGACATACGAGGTGCTTATCCATCTACATCTCCCTTCTTAGCAAAAGTGGCCATCTTCATCCGGTCCATCATCTCCGTATCGTGTGCTGGGTACGCCCCAGAAACTCATCGGATGGTTTTTCCTCCATCATCTAAGGTTGGTGATGAAAAGGGCTTCAATAATACTATCTAATATTATAGTGATTAGCTTTATGATATTGGAGCTAGGGGATTATAATGAGAGATGAAGATGATGCAGACCGCGAAAGTGATTAGAAATTCTCATTCAAGCGAGGATGGTGTTACTTAAATTCGGCTCGGCAAACTCTAAAATGATATCTGGAGGTTCATAGGTGACACAGCTGACAGGTGTTGAGTTTTTGTCTCCCTGTGAGTTGTGGTTAAAAGGGCTTCTTTTTCAACGCTTGTGCAGGTAACAATCAAACGTAAGTGCATGATAACTGTCCAGCGACAATTTTGGTTGATTATTGAAATTTGACGTAATTGAGCAAAAGATTTCATTAGTAGTAACTCTGTATGCTAAGTTTGAAAGGCGAAATTAAAAATCATCTCTGAGCGTCTGCCGTGTAGATGTATCACAACCCCTGGCTACTGAGGCAGGCCTGAATGTCTAGCACAAATAGAAATTTCAAGAACCTTTGAGTTTGTCGGAGCCAATTTAGCAATCTTCTAACCGATATTGGATGAGTGAAGATGCTTTCCAGACGGCTCCTGAAAGTCTGGCCAAGAGATCGCACTGATGATGGATTGAATCGGTCTTAGTTCGAGAGAACACTCAGTGAAGATTTAATTGAGGGGTTAAATTTGATTAATCAAACAATGTACGCTAGTGTTTCTCGAGTCAGATAAGTGAGGTATGAGTTTCCTGCAATATCATAGTTGAAAATTAGGAGTTGACCGGAAAATTCTAGAAAAGAATGCCATTATTGACTAGAATTTACATTCATAACAATGAGGTTAGATACACTATGCCTTAAAAGCTATGTTTGACTGAACTTAAAATACAATTGCTCCTTATTCTTCTGAGGCTGCAGCACCTGTAATAATCTCAACCAGTTCACCAGTAATGACAGCTTGTCGAGTGCGATTGAATAAGATTTGATACTTGTTTATCATATCGCCAGCGTTTTTTGAAGCGTTCTAGAATATATCAGTTCAGTAAAATAGCCATAAAGTTACTAGACTTACATCCATTGCATTTCGACGCGCAGATTGTTCGCATGCATGACCTTCAGCGAGAGCCCAATATAAAGAATTCGAAAGCGCATATTCGCGGAGGTTTGCAATTACCTCATTGTCAACTTCATAGGCGGAAAGATTTGCTATAAAAGTATTAGCATTTATAGGCAGGGAATTCAGTAGAGCTCACGAGAATTGACGATTGCCTCTTCAGTGTAAGCGTCAATTATGGTAGCTTCATAACTCTGTGCATTAATAAATTTGTTGTAAACGATCTGAATAGACGAGTATTCGGTAGGGAGACTGGTAATCTGATCTGTGATAGCCTGTGCTTCCGCAAAGCTTGGGATGTCTTTTCCAACACCGGCAAAGCTCAAGACAATATTCTTCCCACTTGATCGACTCAATTGTGCCTTAGCTTTTTCCCCAAGAACTACAATGTCGGCATTGGGATTTTCAATAAGCATCTTCCTAACGCGTTTACTAAGTCCTGAGTGGATGCCACCACATAGCCCTTTATCCGAACTGGCTACAACAATCAAATATTTTTGGTTATCTTTTTCAAGTGGCTTAGTTCCGGCTTGGTCAAAAACAGCGTTGGAAGTTTGACCGTATTGACGAGATTCAGTCATTGCACGCTGGGCACGGGTTAACTTGGTCGAGGCCACAATCTTCATGGTGTTGGTAATCTTTTCGATATTCCTGATGGATTTTAGGCGGTCTTCAATTTCTCGAAGTGTTGCATATGTTGCAGCTTTTGGAATTGAACTAATAACCCGTAAGCTCATTCGTTTTCATTCACTTGAGGGGATGTCCCACCGAGTGTAGGCGGCAGAGCTTGCCTTGAGGGCAGGTCTGACGGCTTTTGATAGCATCATAATGGGCGGAGAATACAGTCTCAAAAAATTTGGTCGTACAGACAAGTCTTGCGCCTGCAATGTGGTTGAAGCCTCCGGGCTGGATCAGACAAATTTGGTCTTGGCGCTGCTTACTAACCTAATAGGACTTTCGAAGTTTAACAAATCTAGATCGACATGCATGAAAATCTACCTTTTTACATGTTTGTCCTACGTTCTTTCAGCCTAAAATTGTTTTATTGTGGACGTCTGAGTATTAAATCTCTCCATAAGAAATTAATAACGACTTTTCTATGTGCTAAAAGGCACGTACAATGTAAAAAGATAATGTCTCTAGAGCTGACAGTGATATTTTCAGCTCACTAAATTCCATACCCCCTAAACCCAAACTCTTTACTACAAGTCGGCAGGTGTCAAAACGCCAACAGATGATGTCTGATTCATCGGAAGATGAGATTCCTCTGGCAAGAAGAAGATCAAGAAGTATGCAAATCCATGTTTTTGAATTTTATATCAATAATTAAAGCTCTACAATACTCTATTCAGAGGCCCAGAACCTGAAGTTAACCTCCGATTTTATTTATCCTCGCTTATTTTTATCTATTTCTCAGAATCAGGAGCAAAACCCCAAACACCAAAGAGTGACGACCTTGACTCAGATACAGCTGCTGTATTATCAGATGCTGCGGCGCCAGCCGGTGTATCTGTTCGAAACGGTCCAGTACTTGAAGAAAAAGGAGATTCCAGTAGAACAGCCACAAACGGTCTTCCTAAACGGAAATCTCGAACTAGCAATGTCAAGCCTGTAAATTACAACGACGACACAGATGAGAATAGTGACGAGGTGCCGCTGGTAGGCATCTGACATTTTAACGCCCACACCCTTAGTAACCCTTGTATTAGGCGAAACGTCAAAAGACGCAAAAAAGTGCGAAAGAATCAGCTAACGAATCTTTGACTGTTTCAAAAAAAGTAACCAGGCTTCCTCCAAAACCAGCCGCCAGTGACTTCGCAACTTCATCTGACGACGAACCTCTGACACAAAAACTAGCCAAAAAAAAAGCTAGTATTGAAAAAAAAGCCGTAAAAGAAGCGAAAGCAATTCGCTCAAAAGAGAACTCGTCCAAGGTTAAAAAGCCTGTAAAGAAAGATCCAATCAAGAAGGAATCAGTCAAGAAGGAACCAGTTAAGAAGGAGCCAGTCAAGAAGGAAACTAACAAGAAAGTGCCCCTTAAAAAAGAGAACACTGTCAAAGATGATTCAACCATTTCAAAACCTGCGCGAAAGTCCAACGGACCATCAAAACAAAACACGAGCTCGATAAAAGAAGAACAGTCTAGTGATGCAAAGCTAGATAAGGAAGAAAAAAACAGCGAAGAAGCAGATGAAGTTTATAAATGGTGGCTAGAAGAGAAAGATGACCAGTCAGTGAAATGGACCACTCTTCAGCATAATGGCGTCGTTTTCCCCCCAGAGTACGAGCCATTACCGGAGAATGTAAAACTTTTGTACAACGGGACACCTGTCACTCTATCGATCGAAGCTGAAGAAATCGCAGGATTCTTCGGAGCGATGCTTAATAGTACCTTGAATGTTGAAAATCCAGTATTTCAAAATAACTTTTTCGAAGATTTCTGTGAAGAAGTCAAAAAGACCGGAGGCGCCAAAGGTCCAGATGGCAAAAGAGTCCTCATCAAAGAATTTTCCAAGCTCGATTTTACGCAAATCTTCAATTATTATGATGGGAAATCTCAGGAGAAAAAAGCCAAATCAAGTGCCGAAAAAAAAGCCGAAAAAGCCATAAAAGATTCTCTAGAGGCACCATACACGTGTTGCATATGGGACGGTAGAAAGGAACAGGTGGGGAACTTTAGAATCGAACCACCTGGTCTTTTTCGTGGACGTGGAGCACACCCAAAAACGGGTAAAGTGAAACGTCGAGTCATGCCAGAGCAAATTACCATCAATATTGGCAAGGAAGCAACAGTTCCGACTCCTCCGGTAGGCCATAAGTGGAAGGGCGTACAACATGATAACAAGGCTACCTGGCTAGCAATGTGGCAGGAAAATATCAATGGTGCTTACAAGTACGTTATGCTTGCTGCTAAAAGTAGTATTAAAGGACAAAGTGACTTCAAAAAATTTGAGAAAGCACGAGAATTGAAAAAGCACATCGATCGGATACGGGCAGATTACACGACAGATCTTAAAGCCGAGCTTATGGCTGCTCGTCAGCGAGCCACGGCTGTCTACCTTATTGATAAATTTGCATTACGTGCGGGCAACGAAAAAGACACTGAAAATGAAGCAGAAACAGTTGGTTGCTGTTCACTGAAGTATGAGCACGTGACTTTGAAGCCGCCAAATACAGTTATTTTCGATTTTCTTGGAAAGGATAGTATCAGATTCTATGATGAGGTAACAGTGGCTCCACAGGTTTTCAAGAACTTGAAGCTTTTCAAGGCACCACCTAAGGTAGACGGTGATGATATTTTTGATCGACTGAACACCACACAACTCAACAAGCATCTAACCAATTACATGCCTGGACTAAGTGCAAAAGTTTTCCGTACATATAACGCATCTTTCACCATGTCAACCCTATTGAAAGAGCTTAAGGATACCAATCTTACCATGCAGGAAAAAGTTAAACTTTACAATGACTGTAATCGAAAAGTGGCTATCCTTTGCAATCACAAACGTACCGTCGGTGCAGCTCACGAAGCGCAAATGGAAAAAATGACAGAAAGAATAAAGGGCCTTCAATATCAACAATGGCGTCTCAAGCAGATGATTCTAGCAATCGACCCAGCGGAAAAGAAAAAAAAGGGTGTAAAGTGGTTTGAATTACATGAAGACCTAAATGAAAGCTGGATACGCGAACATCAGGCATTTTTGGTAGAGGATCAGCGGTCAAAGATCGAAAAGAAATTTCAAAAAGAAAATGAGAAACTAGCTGCCGAGGGTCAGGCGGAGATGAAACCAAAAGAGTTGAAAGAAAGGCTTGCAGTTGTTGAAGAGCTGGAGAAGAAACTCACCAGAGAAAATAAATCAAAAAAGGTAGATCCAGAAGGAAAAGGTGCTTCAGTAGAAAAATATGTTGCAAATATCCACAAGCTTGATGAGCGAATAGCCACCATGCGTTTGCAAGCTGAAGATCGTGAGGGTAACAAGGAGGTTGCTTTAGGTACAAGTAAAATTGTAAGTTTCGAATCACCTCTTATCTCTTAGCTCACCCTTGGTAGAACTATATCGACCCACGTCTAACTGTGGTATTTGCCAAGAAGTTTGATGTACCAATTGAGAAATTCTTCTCAAAGACTCTTCGAGAAAAATTCAACTGGGCCATTGACTCTATTGAAGACGATGACGATTGGGAATTCTAATGTACTTACATAATTCCTGTCTTATATATTACAGATCAGCAATCCACATTTACATAAAGAGAAAGACTTCAATTTTCAAGCTGTTATATGCAGTTACGATACGCACTAGATAGATACATATACGTTTTTGTATATATTATTTCTGTGCAGCCTAGCTTTGGCATATAGATAGTACGATACGGTATCATTTTCATGAGTTTGCTCTAAATGAGGCATTCTGGATTTTTGTTGGCACTACCAGCACTACACTAGATTTTTTGGTAATCATCTCTAATGCCATTTTTCAATCAGTAATAAAGGGTAGTAATCATGTAAGGCTAAGTAAAATAAGTTTTCAATGTTCATTTTCATTATCTAGAAATTCACATTCTTGCACCTTTGACAAAAATTATAAATTGTAATCAACGGTAAAGTAGCAAACCAAATCGTTTGCTCCGAGGCGGAAGAGATTAAGTAATAGACTATCATTGTTACGGCCTGACCATTGTTTGAGCTTAGGTGGATACCAAAGCGTAAAATCGAGAATGTTTACGAATAGACCGCATGGGGAAGGATATATAAAGCTGAGCGAAACGGCACTAGTAATTGATTTGAATTCAATCCGTATCAGGCTCACGCCCTACACCCAACAGGCGTGATACGGGTCTATGCTCCCTCTGGACACACTACAACATAAATACATAGTTTGCTTGTCAAATCTACACGCAAAACATAAATAATGAAATTAATTCCAAGAAAATTAAGCGCCCTGCGTCTTACCTCCTTCCTTACAACTCATTGTCCTGGAAAACTTCTATTTCGGCAGGACTTAATCCTCCTAATGTGGTATTTGCCTCTCGTAACACTTAGTTACTGTTAAGTACTGGAGAAATCTTTCCCAACTATTTTCCATCAGCATCTACCGTCCTCTAGGTGGTGGTTCGTGCTTCAAGTTTCTCTATTGCTGTAGAGCAATCCGGCATTCGGCAAAATGCCAAGGACATCGCTCTCTTCCGCACACGCATTTGTAGTTTTCAAATTCGTGGCCAAATCCTTCATGGTATTTTCTGAAATCGCTGTGTCCCGTCCTTGCCATAATAAGGCGGTGACGCGACCACCTCGAAAGTGCTAGCCCCAGTGGACGTTTTCGTTTCATATGGAGATCCGATTCTTCGTTGCAGCTCGGTCTATGATGTAGACACCAGGATTCCACTGCTGCTAAACATCTTTGCCTGACAAAGCGAGTTGAGGGCTGCGAAAGTGTATTTAGGTGTGTCCCTCATTTCTGAGGGAGATGGGTCCGTTTCATCCGGTAGTTTCCTGAGAGTTTCCTTAGCCAGTCTGTCTGCATCTTCATTCCCCATAATCCCAGCGTGGGCTGGTATCCATCGGATCTCAACTGATCTGGCTTGTCGTACCAGTCTTGTAAATACTTCCACTGCAGCCTGGGAAGATTTTGTTAGGCCGATTCTTTGAGCTCTCACGGCTGTGGTGTCGTCGAACAGCACCACGGTACTAGTATTTATTAAGTTTGGTTTCATTTGATGTCGTGCCAGTGTGTGTGTGTGTTTTATTGTACTACTTGAGTCTATGACTATCTAGCACATTGGGTTCCCCTCTGACCCAGGCCACACCTTGTACAGTGTTCCTATCCTCTTTTGTTACTTGAAAGATCATTGATATATTCCCCTTGATGAATAGCCATTCAGATCAGTGTTTACCCGTGTCATTCGGCCACCTTTTCCACAGAACCCTCTACCCAAAAAAATAAAAATGGTAGCAATGGAAACTGCGTGCGCGGGAAAAAGTCTCAAAAAACCTGCAGCCCCAGCCAGGCGAGGCCTAGACACCGGGACTACATGAGATGCGCATATTCATCTATGTCTCCCTTCTTTGTAACAGTCGAGGTCGACTTGATCCAATCCGCCATCTCCGTGTCGGGTGCTGGGTACGCTACGGAAACTCATCGGATGGCTTTTCCTCCATGATCAAGGGTTAGTGATGAGTAGGGCTCCGATCCTACCATCTGATCTGATCGTGGTTAAATTCATGATAATGGTGATAGGGAAATGTGTTGATAGATGAAGAAGATACAGACCGCGTAAGCGATTGGGAATCCTCGTCGAAGTGAGAACTTCGTTACTCAATCTCGGCTCTGCAGACTCTACGGTGAGAGCTGGAGGTTCGTAGGGGACACCACTGACTGGTGTTGAGAATAGTCCCCCAATGTCGTGCCTAAGCACGGCTTATGATCAATATCACGAACCGCACGCCTCAGTCCCTCTAGAACTACCTCACGCCCTCGCGCAACCTACTGCACACAGAAGCTACAAACGAGCCTGACTAGCTGTCCGCCACTCTGATTCCCCATCGAAATGTAGTAAATTTCCCTCTCCCGGAAAAGTTACATGTATTTCTACATTTGAATAGATTTCATGCTCCCTCTCTGTCTATGAGAGCAAAGTTAGAAACTATCCAATTTGAACATGAAAATTTAGCTAGTATCTAATGTAGATTCCAGGAGTCCTCCACTATCATAGACTCAGTTAGGACTGTAATAAAAATCTGATCTACTACAATAGACTTTAAGTGTGTTCTGAGCACCTACTTATGTAAGCAATTACTTAGCGTCGTTCCTTGTGAAACAGGCGTACATATTTGTTGAATCCCACCCACCTCCAAGACTGGGCCCGTACATCAGCCCAGCTGCTTGTGGCAACTAGTAAGTAATTGAGTCGGTTATCGCCCGGGACTCACGATATCAGATTTACGGGCTGATTAATATCGAAGTCCAAGTCAAGCAGAGGGTTATCTAGTCTTTTCCCTATCGGCTATTACGCTCTATATACATCCTGTGCTATTGCCCTGAGCGGCGATCTCGTCTTACCATTATTGGGGGAAGACATCGCTCGTTTCTCATCCCCAGCTCCTGATTGTCCACATGTCGGGATTCTCATAATACTGAGGATCTTAAACTCCGAATCCGAGCGAAACGCCGAGTCTTAAAACTGTGAGACTAAATTCCTCGCATTCCTTGGTCACGATCCAGGCGGCTAATCGCCTCACTCATTCCCTACTATACTCTAATAGTTTACTATGCCATGTATTATTGATCATTACATTATCTGCAGTATGGAGAATTTGATGTTTTTGAGGAGTTATAACGTTAATAGAAATACAAATTTACACCTAGTCTCAAGCTCTACCTACATAAAGATTGTCGTTGTCGGAGCCACAAGACACCCGCGAATTTCACAGTCAACATTTATCATTTTATTCTTACTAACGTGCACAAGAAACCTCACTGCTACCGGGTAAAACCCACAATAGCTAAGTCTACTGATATTGATTGTAAGCAGAGGACTGTAATTTTCTGCCTTCTTCGACCCAAGTTTCAGCCGGTGATGGTGATTTATCAAGGTTTCCCAATGTAGAAAACTTAGATACTGAGCCAATCGACATTCAAGGAGCTGGAGTAAAAACTTGCGAGAATTATGAGGGTGACCTTCCAATGAGGGAGTCATTAGGTGGCGGGTGAGGAATTATGGCAAGCCAGGCTTTTTGTTCCTCCTGGCGTATCAGCCGTGTTATCTTTTTATCTGGCCGAAAAAAGGCCCCATTAGCGCGAAAGAGCTGTGCTGGGTAGCCGGGAGAAGAGGCCTTGTGAGGGCCAGCGTAATTTAGGCATTTAATTGGTGTCAAGTACAGTCTATTGTGAGAGTCTGATGCGCAGAGGCTACATTGTGCCTAGCGTATGGAAGCCGCAATGTTATAGAAGCCGTGATAGCGGGGCCAGACCTGGAGGCAAGGATGGTTATCCGCCGACCGAATTCTGGTGGATCGCGCAAAGAGGCGGATAATGGTCAGAGGTTTCATGATGCTTGCTTTCAGACTACCTGTCGAAGTGTTACCTTCCGGTCCGAAGATTCCTTCGAGCAGCGCGTCCTACATGTTTCTTTATAGAAACATAACAGCAAGTTTGACTAGACATGAACTACAAGACAGAAGGCTGGAGAGCCTCAGATTGGTACGGATATATTCTCTTTATTTACGTTTTCCTAAAATTATCATATATGAATCATGGAGTCCAGCGAGAGGCTGAAACTCATGTATAATTGAATCTTTGAGTGCAGGATGATGTGATCATGGCTTTCATTTGCTATGTTGGGTCTGTGTAGGCGCCAACATGTGAGATAGCTTTGTTTAGACTGGACTAGGTGGACCAGTAGTGGTAATCCCACCATTAAACTAAGGAGGCCCCCAATTAGAATAGAAAAGAGAAGATATATTTAAATGGTCTCTCCTGCATAGTTGTCAACTCAAATAGGACATATATGGACAATTATTTAGACCGGGCTAGATGGTATGTAAAGGACTCAAGTGCTGTGCGTTGGCACTAATTTCAGCAACCTAAAGAGAAAAACTAACCGGCAAGTAGGCGCCTAACAAGTGGTTAAGCGCTGGTCGGGCCTACTAGGGGCAGAAGGTTAAATTCTTACGTGGCTTATTTTAGATATGATTACGGCTGCCCGGCGGATATGAGTGCTGGAGAAATGGCTTGGTCTTTCCTGACGAGGGTTTTCGCCGGGTTTTCCCTCAACCCATGGTCTTAGAGTCATTACGAACAAGTTCCTAGCCATCCAACTAGATGTAACCAGCTTGCTCAAACGCGGGTATTAAGAAGATCCGGGTACTAGTCGGGCATTGTTATAGCTAGGAGGATCATGTATACTAGATATTCTTCGTACGTCCTTTATTCTGACGAGATGATGGCCTAGCCGACATCAGACGATAAAGTTGCACTATCATACATAATCTTTTTAAATTGGAATTTCCGGATATTCAATTTGTCCGCCCTTGCTATTGATCACATCTATGCAAAAATTAGTATGGAGCTTTAGGTTTTTCAAAAATGCCATCAGTTCGAAAAAAGCGTCCCGGCGCTATGTTAGAAAACGCGGGAGTCCGCCCGAGGTCTCTCTCATAAGCACTGGGTCTTGTCCAGCCTCAAAAATACGAATAGACGAGCAAGGCCTTGACTGAAGGGATGAAAAAAGCTCTCCCCGCCGTCGCTGAGCCCGATACTGACATGATTGGGTCAGTTGAAATGGTTGACGAAATCCTTCAATCAGCCTCCATCTTTCACGGGATTGTAGGTCAGTCAAAATCTTCTCTGACAGTGTCATAGGCATCGAAGAAAGCGGCAACGACAGCAGCTACTATCAAAGAGTCACTGCCTAATGCTGCCGCGAAACCAGATTGTTCGCCTGAGCTTCGATCGAATCTCGAGGCTAGAGAAGGACGAGCCGGCCAAATAACGGCCAATCTGGCATTGTACTCCGCCACCATCTCTAGTGTCGAAGCATCCCTTCTTCATCTGACCAACAGGCCAATTAAACAATTCGTATATTTGATGTAGGGCTTTGTACGCACCGCCATCGCGCAATACATAACAACAGGCTCGACCACTATGCCATCCGTCCTTCCTCCTTGCCTGGCGAGCCCTTCTATAAGGGCTCATGTTCTCAGGAGTCCAAATACACCCGACATACACCCGACATACACTTAATGAATTAAAAAAAATTCATCCGCAGTCCCAGCCTAGCCCTGCCATGGAAAACAACCTAAGCTGCAATGTGGCATGGTCGCAACATCAACAAGGTCTATGGCAAAATCATCAGCTCCAGTGCCAAAGAAAGACGCTGAAAAAGTAAGAGTTGACAGACGTACATTCCTCCGCCTTGACAACGAACATTTATGACCTAGATTCACGCTATCTGGCCTTAGCCTGAGTCTGGAAGAGGAATTAAATTGCGATCTCAAGGACATCACCTCGCTTCATAGCGTGAGAACTAGCTTTGTCATTGTGGCAACCGACGAAATAGCATGACAAGTCTTCCTAGATATCTGTTCGAAATTCTCTGAATTTGATGCCAAATTTGAAGCATATTCGGACCTTATCGCAAATAGGATCCCGAATGTGTCAGTGATTTTCAATACACTGTACGGCTCAGCTATAGTCGAAAAAAGAGTTCTCTCTGAAGAGATGTTTCGAATAACCGACTAGGGGCCAGTTTGAGTACAGTCAGATAGGAATTGCTTTCCCAGTGCGCCCTATTACAGCTAACATACACTTTTCTCTCGGAATTCCGTCCCTCATGTGAGTTTTCGTGTCTTCGAATAGTTTGGAACGACTATAGTTTTACCGCTGCTACGGTTACCACGCCACTCTTGTTTGCTCCGGCGCTCCAGCCTGCTGAAATTTTAGATCCGACATACACCCTAAAACAGAGTGTAAGACCCTCATGACATAACGAAACTATGGGGAATCTCACTGATCGTATTCTCGTAACTGCTTAGCTAGACCTACAAATGCGTATTAGCGAACAAAGAGCAGCTTGCGGTGATCAGCTAAATGGAACAAGGGAGGCTCACAGGAGTAGTCGAGCTAGAACTATAGCCAAAAGAGTCCGAGAGGCTATTATCGCTTCTGCGAAAGATGTTCTCATGGTGGAGGGATCGGGTTTGCGAGTTCTGAGATCCAAAGAAGCCTGAGGGTGCGGTTACCTTTTGTGAAGTCAATGAGGGCTTAGATTTCACAGAGTAGGAAACTGGCCCACAAAGAGGGGTATTAGCGAACTCATCTCTCGCTCTCAGCAGAAGTCAGAATTTTTTTGTGAGATGTGGCAGGAAAGGGAAGGGCGACAAGCGTGGGATCCGGATCGATATAAATCTTCTTCTAATTGTGATTTTTATTTTGCTCTGAACTTCTCCCTCTTTGTCAAAATTCACGCGGTTAGGGTGGTTTGGGCCTGTACTCAGTAACCTTAGCCGGCTTTGCAGTTTCTGTATCTTTAGTGGACCTGGATTATTAGCTTAAGATCTTAAAAAATAAACAAACAATAAAACAAATTGGCAAAACGATAACCAAGTGATAGAGACCAGTTGCTCTTCTCCTATGATTAGGAAAAGGGTTAGAAAGACATCTTGAAAAGCGAATGGCACACCCATCGGCTGAATACGACGTTGTCTGCCACTAATAGCTTGGTGCGCTACTAAAGTGCTCAGCAACAAACCTGGTTTCCTGTGTATTCCATGACATCGAAGATGCAAGCTCACAAGGATAGACGGCTACCTTTGTAACTTTAGACGTACGAGAAGCCTTTGACGCAGTTCTTCACAACTGACTAGTGAGGAAGATGCAGGAATAAGGATTGCCAGACTCGATTATCGAACAGACAAGTCCATTCCACGCAGATCGAAGGATTCAAGTAGTATGGTCCAGAGGAGTCACCACTACAAGAGGGCTAGTTTTCGGAGTGACGCAGAGCTCACCGATCTCTCTACTTCTCTTCCTTCTTTATATAACAAAGTCTATGCGAGCTAATACTCCAAGTCCAGGGTTAAGCTACACCGAAGACATCGGTATTCTCGAGTTTGGCCGCATTACTTCCAAACCTACTGCTACAGCATAGGAGAGAATTTATCAATTTCTGAATTGAGCTCAAAATATTGCTGTTGCGTTCGACATTGACATGTCTGAAGTAGTGCAACTCCCGGGAAGAATCGCGAGACGGCGACTAGGATTCACGTGAATTGGTCTCTTATAGAACCATCGCTAAATATTCGTTGGTTGGGTGTTCACATGAGTCCCCAAGTAAGCTTCAAGCAACGTATAACTACGTGGTGCGGCAAGACATGTTGGAAATGGAGACGCAGAGTGTTGTGGGCGTACGGGCCCTCCATTCCGTCTAAGTTCCCGACACGGTCTTTTGTGTTTTTAAGAGGTTGGAATAGGTAATATGGTACCGCTTCAGGCTACCTATTGGATATATGAGCGGCTGTATGGCGTGGGCACAAGGAGGTTATTGGGGGTTTTCTATGCCTTGATGGCGCCACACTCGTTTATGCTGTGGCTTAGGCTCTGTGTCGCTTACACTTGAAGTTACAGCGCACAGCTCCCGCTCTTTTAGCAGTATATCTATCATGACACCATTTTTGTCAACGTCTTCTTTCGTTCCAGAAATATTGCGACCATTTAATTGCGCGGTATTTCCAACAAGACGTTGAAAATTAGACGGAATATACGCCGTTTCAATTCCACCTTTCGAGGAGCTGCTCCAGGAGAGTTAATTGAAGTAGTGA